CACTTGTTTTGCAAAGCCTTCTTTCCTTCAGGCAGTGTGGTTAACTCCCAAGTCTTGTTCTTCAACAATGACTCCATCTCATCCTTCATGGCTAACTCCCACTTGCTCGAGTTTCCATCTTGTAAGGATTCTTCATAATTTAATGGTTCACCATCATCTGTCAGTAAAATATAATTTAGTAAAAGTATGAACCGTTGTGGAGGCTTTATAGTCCTTGAAGACCTGCGAACAGCTGGTTCACTTGGCTCTGTATTGTCTTATGTAGAAGTGGTGGGTACTGAAGTACTTGAACTGTCTTATATGGACTCTTGAGTGGTAACATCAGGAAGCCCTTCTAATTGTATGAATTTAGATTTCTGTGGACTCGTATCTGAATCAGTTATCTCTAGTTCTGTACTTGATTTGTCTTTGTACAAAACTTTCTCGTTGAAGATCACGTTCCTGTTTCTGATAATCTTCCTATTTTGATCATCCCAAAACCAAAATCCAAATTCTTCATCTCCATAGCCAATAAAGAAACATTTCTTTGATTTGGCATCCAGCTTGTTGCGAGCATTAGAATCTACATGCACATAGGAAACACACCCAAAGACCTTTAGATGAGAAAGTTGTACTTCTTTTCCTCTCCAAACTTCCTCGGGCAGTCTGAACTCCAAAGGAACTGATGGTCCACGGTTGATCAAGTAAACTGCAGTATGAACTGCATCAGCCCAGAATGTTTGAGGTAGCCAGAATGCAACCTCATGCTTCTAGCTCGTTCATTGATGGTGTTGTTCATCCGTTCAGCAATGCCATTCTGTTGTGGTGTGCCTGGAACTGTCATTTTCATTCTGATACCGTTGACAGCGCAATACTCCTTGAAACCTCCATCAATGTATTCTCCTCCATTATCAGATCGTAAGCAATTCAACTTCAAACCTGATTCAGTCTCAACTATAGCCTTCCATTTCTTGAATGTGTCAAACACATCAGATTTATTTTTCAGAAAGTAGACCCATACCTTCCTGCTGAAGTCATCAATAAAAATCACATAGTACTGAGATCCTCCAAGAGATGCTACTGGAGCTGGTCCTCATAAATCTGTGTGTACCAATTCTAGCTTTCTTGGTCTTAAGGTCCTGCCAACCTTTAAGAAACTGAGCTTCTTCTATTTTTCGAGAACACAGCTTTCACAAATGTCTAGATCAACATTTTTTTAACTATGGCAGCTTTCCCTTTGACTGAAGTATCTTCATCCCCTTTTGACTCATATGGTCGAGTCTACAATGCCAAAGCTGTGCCTAATTTTCTGCTTCAGTACAGGCAATTATATCTACTGATCTTGTGCTCATATACAGGGTGTTAGTTTTCTTTCCACAAGCCAAAACCATTGCTCCCTTTGATACCTTCCACATTCCTCCAGAAAAAAGGATTGAATGGCCACTATCATCAAGTTGTCCAACCGAGATCAGCTTCTTCTTTAGTTCGAGAACATGCCTTACATTTTGCAAGTTCCATATAGATCCATTCATTGTCTTGATTTGCACATCTCCTATACCCACAATATCCAATGGTTGTCCATCGGCCAGATAGACTACCCCGTAATTTCCAGCAGTATAGTTTTGCATCATTTCAGGGTGTGGTGCACAGTGAAATGAAGCTCCAGAATCAAGAACCCAATCATCAATAGGACTATGTACAGCAAGAATCAAAGCATCTTGTACCTCGTCTGTAGTGGCATTTGCAGAATCAGCTTCAGGTTTCTTTGGTTTTGTGCAGCTCCTCATAAAATGACCAGGTTTGCCACAATTCCAACATTCAACCTGCTTCCTGGGTCCAAACTTGCTTTTACTTCTGTACCTGGATTTTGATCTGCCTCTAGATAAGCCTCTGTCCTGTCTCCTTCCTCGAGTGTTGATGTTGAAAGCTGAACCTGAACTTGAGCTTTCACCTGAGTCTTTCCTTCGTACTTCTTCAGCTAAAATCAGGTCTTGGATGTCATCATATTTTAATTTGGATTTTCCGGCTGAGTTGCTTATGGTTGTTCTCATACCTTCCCAACTGCTTGGAAGTGAAGCTAGCAAAATAAGTGCTCGGATCTCATCATCAAACTCAATCTCAACAGATGATAATTGATTTGTGATGGTGTTGAAATTATTAAGATGCTGTGTGACAGAGGTGTTTTCTATCATTTTCAGGTTGAACAGCTTCTTCATCAAGTGCACTTTATTATTTGCTGACGGCTTCTCATACATCCCAGACAAGGCTTCCATCAATCTTGCTGTGGATTTTTCTTTTGTAACATTATGAGCAACTCTTCTTGACATTGATAGCCGGATAATGCCCAAGACTTGTCTATTAAGTATTTGCCAATCTTCTTCTATCATGTTTTCTGGTTTGCTTCCCAATAGAGGAAGATGAAGTGTCTTTCCATATAAATAGTCTTCAATTTGCATTTTCCAATATCCAAAATCAGTTCCATCAAATTTTTCAATTCCCGCAGCCTTTATTTCATCAGCCATTTTTACTCTTTCTCAACTTTGAATCTGCAAAATCTGACCTTATAGATATGTTCGGAAGGGCCAAAAATGTTGGAAACAATACTGAGATCACCCAAATCGGACTTCGGATGGCTCAGATTTAAACAATCAAACTTTGGAATTACTGGACGCTGCAGATGAAGCCACGTGGCAGGAGGAATAGTCGCTGCGCCACACTGGAACAAAACCCAGTTATGCTGACGTGGCTTAGCTGACGTGTCAGACACGTAGGCAATGTGGGGTCTACCAAATCTGACATGGCAGATCCACGGATATGTTCAGCTGACGTGGCAGTGATGACGTGGCTGCCTATATGTCTATTGACGTGGCAGATGACGTGGTAGGTTGGCTGGTCAGACTGCTGATGTGGCTGGATGATGTGACGGATGACTGTGCCGATCTGCTGACGTGGTGTCAGTTTGCAGGAAACGGACGAGGAAGACGCGTGACGTGCGTACGGCACGTTTGTGCGCGTGGACAGTACTGGTGGTGGCGCGTGCGGGCATGCAGGACATCGGATTTTCGTCGGGTTTTCACCAGTGGATTCCTCTCGTCGTCTTCTTCATGGTGGTATGTTCAAAAACACGTTTTGAGAACTTTGATTTTTGAGTTTGGATCAAACACCCTCTTTTTCAAGAACTTTTAAAAACAGGCTCTGATACCAGTTGTTAGGTGATCCAAGCATTCAAACACACACAAATTTTCGTGGTTCGGCAACTTGCCTACTCCACGGAGCTACTAGTTTGTATTAATCAAGCTCAAAAGCAATACAAACAACAAAACAAGGAGGAGGAGAAAAAACTTCTCTACTCAACTCAACTCAACTCTCACCCTTAGCTCTCTCTGTGTTTCTCTCTATTTCGTGTTCTATATCAGCTATCAATGCACCCTCTATTTATAGCTGAGGAGGGAGACAATTGTTCAACAATGGTGGGCAACATTTTCTTTGGTTAGGCACCCACCATTTGACTCTAACCATGTCAACCATGGCTGCCACCAACCATGGCTGCTACTAACCATGGCTGCCACCGGCCATTTGTGTCCACACATAACATAATTAAGTTATCCAACACCAGTCGAAGTCAAGATCATACCCAAATTAAGAACAAAATATGTTATTTCAGAATTTTATTTATTTTCCTTGTTATTTTCAAAAAAAAATTTCTTAATTAAATTTTAAAATTTTATCTGGTTGGAGTTTCATTAACTATGTAGGTTTTATCTATTATTTAAACAATTCAGTTGTTATTTTTTCGGAACAGATTAAAATGTTAAAGTATTATTAATATGCAGAATTTATCTCCCTAGAGTTTTCTCTCTATAGTTAAGGGCTGCAATTTTATTTCGTGGGAAACCTAATTTCTTTCTTCTTGTTTTAAGATGCGTTCCTCTCTCTCACAGAAAGCCTACATATTGCTTTACCCCATGTTTTCTTGTTAATTTTAGGAGTTGAAGTTGTCTGTAGACATCATGAAGGATTTTAATCGGTCAGCAACTGGATGCAATAGGAATGGAGCTGAAAGAAAAAGGTCATAAGGTTGAGTTTTTGGAAAATGTGAGCGAAGTTGCAAAAGGCGTGTAGAAGATGACCATCGATTACTCGGAAGAAAACTGCAAGGCGCTGCCCGAGATTGGATTGAATAACTCTAGAACAGCATCTCTACCATTTGAAGTGAACTTAGTTGAGAAAGAGTTTTATATTTTAAGATCCATTCGGCATTCACTATTTCAAGTGAAATTAATGTAGAAACAATCCTGATGTGAAGCTGCTGCATATGATTATAAGATTGTCATTTGCTAGGTCTACCAAATACCAATCTTCCAAGATTCAAGACTCTTAAGCTGCTGCATATGATTATAAGATTGTCATTTGCTTGGTCTACCGAATACCAATCTTCCAAGATTCAAGACTCTTCTGATTTTGATCTCTAATTTGGGCATCTTTCTGCTTCCTTTTTTTCCTCGGTGTTTTTCTGATGGTTAATTGTAGACATCTCACTTTATCTCCTAAGAAAGTTTATAATGTTAGTGTTTCACTTGTGCTCTTGTTCTGTTTCTCGAGTACTGCCATGGGCCCGGGCAAAGAATACAGAGAGAGACAGAGATGTAATAGCCCTCTCCATGTTCAGCAGTTGCATTACACTGTAACCAGAAAGATCATGCTCTGATCTCTTTCGGAATGAATGTTCATCAGAATCAGTATCGGCTTCTCTTATTACATTTCATGGTTCCAAAAACAGCTAGCACTGACCCTTATGAATTTTTTTCCCCATCTAAAATCACAAGTTTATGTGCATGTTTGATGATTTTCCTGGAGTTCTTGCATGTCGAAGGATGAGGATGCTTATCCACCACCACCATCATCTTTAGGGGATTGAGCATGGTATAGACACAAAATCATTCATATGCATATGTGATACTTGAAGGAATATAATTTTGGCCCCAAGAGAGAAAAGTATTGGTGTGTACTGTTAATTGAAACATAATTTCTTCAAATATTCATTCATATAATGAGAAATTTAGACGATTATTTTCAACATAAAAACAATTGCAAGGCCGGGCTCCAAAGCAACCTCAAAGACCCGGAAAAGCCACAGGCTCGAGCAACAAACTTCCTAGCTAATCTAATAGCTAGCATGCATGATATAAGTTTCTTCTAGGATTGGCATTTTACAAATTAGAGACAGCTACTAGGCTGAATGAAACCGGAAGCTTTTCCATCAGCATTGTTGCAAGATGCACCAGCTGGTTGATTCATGTAAGTAAGCCTCACATTCTCCATTTTGATACCAGTGCATGGAGACCTTTTACTACAATCAAATTTCACTGCCACTTTTGTTGCTGATGTTCCATGGATATCTTGGTACGTCACACCACTAATTTTTACCCCGGAAGCTTGACCAGGACAATTTTTGTTGTCAGGACAGTAGTTTTGGTCGATGACAATGGGATTTTGAACGTTGGTCATGACGGCATGCTGGAAAAGAACATTCCTTACAAAACCATTGCTTGGTCTCCCCCACGTTTTGATTCTCAACCCATTTTGAGTACCGATAAATGTAACGGTTTTAACCGTCACATTTTGCACCCCTGGCTCTTTAAGGTCCTTCCCCAGACTACCAATGCTGCAAGAAACCGCACACAAACATACCCACGTTTGAGTCCCATATTTATAGCCGCATGTATAGATATAGTATGTAACATCATCATCTTATCTTATGCGAAGATAACTTTCTTAAAATTATGTATTATATATATGCGGAGGTGTGCTTAATTATTTGGTTAATTCAGCGGTACCTGATTCCATGGCCAGGGCCACATACAACATTTTCGATCCACAAGTTAGTGGTTCCGGCACCGACAGAGACACAATCATCACCGGTTCTGATCTTCGAGTTCAAGATTGTGACGCCGCTGGATAGCTGTACATGAATGCCATCCGTGTTTGGACTGTTCCCGGATGCAGTGATCTTAACCCCTTGAATTCTCACATTGTGGCAGCCATTGACAACGATGTGGAACATTTGGCTATTCAGTGAATGCAGTCCACTGATCACTATGTTTTGTGAATTGGAAACGCTTAGTGTCTGCACATGCACACAAACTACAATTAAAATGATCATTGATTAACGCATTTAAATATATTGTACTTGAAACGTAATTGAGGCTTTAGCTGGACCCCCTAAACAAAAAGCTATAATTAGGACTTAATTAGTAGTTGACCTTTGATATTCTTTATTAATTCGTATTGCAATAATTAGGGCTTAAGTGAACATGGACCCAGCTAGTCCCAAGAAGGCAGTAAGTTGAATGGTATGGTAATGTTTATGACTGATGAAATTAACTACTCTTAAGACTCCATCAACTATGCTTTTGTTGATGATAGGCAGGAGACGGTTACAGTTCAAGGTTCGAGTCTTGATTACTCTTTGCACCTTTCAGAGAATAGAAAAGAAGGGGGGGAAAAGGTGGTCACAAAATAATGAACGTACCGTGGCACCACTTGGGCAATTCTTGCCGGATTGCTTGCAATCCCACAAACCAGAACCATGTCCATCAAGTATCCCACCAGAAACTGTAACTCCATCAACATGCTGAAAGGAAATCCAGTTCGCGGCATTACCGATAACCCGATAATCGGTGGGAGCCAGAAGTGAGCCATCTATTCTTACGACGATTGCATTATTCTTGCAAGGACCACTGAATTGTACGTTTCGTAGAAAGTATCTGCCTGGTGGTACATAGAGGGTAGAACGGCTAATAGAGCCACAGGCCTGTGTCCAAGCAGCAAGAAAGGCTGTGGTTGAGTCAGTTCTCCCATCTGGTTTTGCCCCATAATTTAGGACATTGTATTGTGCTGCACCTGCTAAAGATGGGGTGCAGACAATGACTAGCGAAGCAAGGAGGAAACAATTTCTTATTGCGTTTTCCATTTTTTCGGTTGAAGGATACTAAAGGAGTCCCTGTTCAAGTCGAGAGATCAGAGGAAATAGAGAGAAAGTTGAAGAGTTGTGGGAGGTGGAGGTGAGAGGCTTAACGTTCAAGGAGGTATTTATAGGGTCAAGAGAGGAATTAATTAATGGAGTTTCAATTGCAGAAATAATTAAACGCAAAATAAAGCTGCGCCGTAATTCAAGAGAAGGAAGTTGAGCTTTATGTTAATGGATTCTTCAGTTTTAATTAATTTTAATTTTTCTTTACTGAAATTCCTTTACGTACTTCCAGCAATTAGGTAGATGGCTTGCATTTACACTTTGCGATTCATCTACTACGTGCAAGCAGAAACTTCCTCCATGTGAGGATGGATAATGATTTCATTCATATAGATCAACAGACATTAAATTCAGGCCATGAGGCCATGTTAATTCCTTAAGTATACACATGAATGTTATACTTTTTGTCTTCAGCAAATAAATGGTGAAAGTATATATGCAAGTCTTGCTGTTGAATTATGGGGACCTTAGCAGTTGCTACGTAAGGAAGTAATAATTATTTCTTCTTGAGAGATGACAAAGAATTCGGAAGCTTAAATCGTTGTACGAGACTCTAAAAGTATGTACTCAGTACATTTAAAAAAAAAAAACCGTCAGAATGAAGTAAAAGGTCGTTATTTAGTGTGTCCAAAGCCAATCTTCAAGATTCCAAATTACGTTTACATGTATATTCACTGTATAAATTAAGGGTATGAAAATTAATTACAATATTAGGATTGTTTAATTATTGATAATAATAATAATAATAATAATAATAATAATATGTGTGCTAATAAGTCGACATTAGTGTTTCCTTTTTCTTTAATTCTAACCTCTTTTATATAATAAGAAAAGAAGTAATAATTTATGTTTCTTTAGGAAGGATTAATGTACGTACAAAAGGTTGCTTGAAATGGGAGTTTTAATTAATTACTTTTAAAAATAACATAAAGCAAAGAAATTATAATAATAAAAAGTGGGTTCACCGTAAACGTGAGAAACAAAATAGACACCAGCTAGCCAAGGCCAACATATATGCATCATCCCTTCCCTCATCTTTTCTTGTGCGAGGTCACGGCGGCTGGCCTCTTAGCTTTAGGCACAAGAACAAGGCTGCTTTTTGTTTTTTTCCTATGTTTTTCTTTTTCTTAATATTATTATTCCTTTTAAATTTATGTCTCTTCCCATATATATATATATATATATATAT